TCTGGAATATATATGGAAATTTTTATTTTGTTATGAAGGTGTTTCTCGAGGGTAGAGGTTCTTTGCTTTGCAAAATATTGTAAATATAATGAAAATAATTTTGATAAAAACAAAAGGTAGAGTAACAATCCACTGTATTTTCAAAAATTACGGATGTAACTTTTAGTAGCCGCAACAAATTCAGTAGCATAGGAAAGTTAGGGTTAAAGATTATAGATTGCAAACGTAGATAAATAATTCAATTGCTTGAATTTAGTTTTTTAATTTTATTCATAAACACAGTTCAAAAGGTGGTCCAACCCTGACTATGTTACCCTTTTAATTTTTGTCTTTTCTTGTTTTCAACAAAAACTTTCTATTATTGGAAAAAAATGTTTTCGAATTTGTTGGTTTTAGAAAATGTTATGTCTTTTCTGGTTTTCAACAAAAACACTACTGTTTTACTTACCTGTTTACAAAAGATGGTCCAACCCTGACTTATGCTACTATTTGGGTACTTTTTTTAGATTTCAGCCACTAAAAGCTACTATTTCTGTTTTTTAGAATTTCTACTACTTTAAATTTGCTATTACATACGTACTAGAAATATTCTTTGTAAAATTTAATTATTTTTAAAAACTTTTCGCAATTCAATGATTTTCAATATCTACTATTCCGATAAAATTTTCTAACAGAATTCAATCATTTAAAACATTTTTTATAAAAATCTTCGCTTAAGAATTCAATTTTTTTCTTGAATAATACTTAGGAATTCAATTATTTAAATTAAAATTGGCTTAAAAGTAGTCGAAAGAAGTCAATTATTTAAAAATTTTTCTAAATTCACAGCACGAATTCAATTATTTTTATAAATATTTTAATTCTTTCATGACTCTTGTGGACAAATTTTTTCTTACACGTTTTAACGAATTTTGATAAAATTTTGTAGGTGTATTACGGTCACGAATATCTAAAATCAGACAGAAGGATTTTCAAAAATATCTAAAAACAAATTTTTTTTAGCATTTTTTTAATTTTTAAGAAAAATTTATTTTCGTATATTTTTTTAAATAACTTTTTTCTCAATTAAAAATTTCATTAATTATTGGTAAAATTGTATTCCTGTCATATGAAAACGAATCGATTCATGCATATATAAAGTATATATTTTATTAATATTTATAAAATTAATCAATATTTTTATTTTTTACAAAAAATTGAAATTTTGTATTTTTTGAAACTTTATCTTAACACTTTAAAATAATTATTCTATAATAAAAAATTACACAATTGGTATATATTATATAAGTAAGCTAAATGATTATGAAATGAACAACATATGATTAAAATTAATTATATCGTGTGCAAAGTCTGCTATTAATTTTTGTCCTTTCTTGTTTTCAAAAGAAACTTCTTTACTTACCTATTTACTATACAGATGGTCCAACCCTGACTATGTTCCTATATTAATTTTTGTCTTTTCTGGTTTTCAAAGAATAACTGTTTTACTTACCTGTTTTACTTACTATGTTCCCTATAAATTTTTGTCTTTTCTGGTTTTCAAAAAACTGCTTAACTTACTTCTTTTTTTCTGGTTTTCAAAGAAAAACTATTTTACTTACCTGTTTACTAAAGATGGTCCAACCCTGACTATGTTCCTCTATTAATATTTGTCTTTTCTGGTTTTCAAAAATAACTGTTTTTACTTGCCTGTTTACTAAAGGTGGTCCAACCCTGACTATGTTCCCCTATTAATTTTTGTCTTTTCTGGTTTTCAAAGAATAACTGTTTTACTTACTTCTTTTTTGCTGGTTTTCAAAGAAAAACTATTTTACTTACCTGTTTACTAAAGGTGGTCCAACCCTGTCTATGTTCCTTTATAAATTTTTGTTTTTTCTGGTTTTCGAAGAAAAACTGTTTTACTTACCTGTTTACTAAAGGTGGTCCAACCCTGTCTATGTTCCTTTATAAATTTTTGTTTTTTCTGGTTTTCAAAGAAACACCTGTATACTTACCAATTATTAAAAAGAAAAAAAAATACTTTCGATAGTAGTGCAGAAGGAAATAATTTGGCAATTGTGCAGAAAACCTTTCTTAAGCCAAAATAAAAAATTTCCGGAATCGAAAATATTTTAAGACGCTATAATGTACTTACTCGTATTGTATAACAATGGCGACACAAAGGCGCAATAAAAAAGTACATAATATTCGCGGCTTTTGAACGTAAAGTCCCGCACGCGTGTAATAATAAAGGGACGTCGTTGCTAAAGGAGGAATGTCTCTCTCTCTCTCTATTTCTCCTTTTCTATACCATGCATAGGAGAAGGAGAAATAGAGGGAGAGGGAGAGATATTAATATAGAGAAGGAGAAAGAGAGAGAGAAACATATAATATTTGTCTGATGGAAAATAGCATTTGGTGTTGTGCATCCATCGCAATACGTGACCATTTCGCCAAAAGGGAATGATATGTCTGTCTCTGAGAACAATGCGGAAATATGCGCGACATTGTATAACACATATAATAATATTGCGTGCGGTGATATGATGATGATATATGAAATATTGTTTCTACGCCTATCATTATATGTTCTTTGCTTGTAACAAATTATATTACACCCATCATATCGAGAGACGATAGTAAACATAAATGTTTACTATATTACAGATGTAAAGTGTGCGCGACAAAAGAAAAAATTTCTTTTTCTTTCTTTTCTCTTTTATACATGCGCAAATGGCATACTTTCGGTATTTTTATACTCTTATTTTTCTCTTCTCTTTATATATTTCGAAAATCGTGCTAATAATAATATTTTGCATTTACAGACTGTAAATATTTTTTTCTTTTTCTTTCTTTTTTGAGGTAATTATTGGACTATGAGGTATATGTATATAATTGGACTAAAATATTATTTTTGTTTCAACTATTTTTATTGTTACTACTTTTTTTTGTTTTTATTACTGTTACTATTACTGCTGCTTTTATTATTTTTAGTATTTGACACTAATTTTAATTTTCATTATTATTATTAATTTTATTATTAATTTTATTATTATTTTTACTATTTTTATTGTTACTACTATTTTTTGTGTATTAGTACTACTGCTAATTATTTTTAATTTTAGAATTTGCTAGTAATTTTATTATTATTACAATTATTATTATTTTTACTGTTACCACTGTTTTTAGTTTTTATTTGTTATTATTGTCATTTTTATTATTTTTATTTGCTCCTAATTTTTGTTTTTTTATTATTATTTCTACTATTATTATATGTTTACTATTCATATTGTTACTACTATTTTCATTATTTTTACTGCTTGTAAACATTTTTTTATTATTATATTATTATTACCATTTTTCTAATTATTATTATTATTTTTAATGTCATAATATTATTATCATCATCATATTAATTTTCCTTCGAGTTGCGAAAAGAAAATTTAAAATATAAAACAATCCCCCGGGAAGAATCGAACCCTAACCGGACAGTTAGAGAGACCACTTCGTTACCACTAAGCTACAGCACAAATTTAAATTTATAATCGCTTTTTAATTTCCACGCCTGCAAAAAAAAGTTATTTCGCTTTATTTTTACTACTATAAAAATACCTGAATAATAAATTAATGTAAGGAACAGTAAATAAGCGTGTGATAGCGTAAATAAAAAAGTAAACAGTAACTAATAATTAATAAAACAAAATAAATATAGAATTAAAAATAACGTAAGAAATAAAAAAAATAAAATAAACAAAAAAACAAATATAAGAAATAAAAAAATATAAAAAAATAATAAAAGATAAATATAAGTATAAATAAAAATAACAATACAAAAATAAAAAAAAAATAAATATCAAACAAAAAGAATAATCGATAATAATATGTAAAGGTTGAAAAGAATCCGCAAAATTTACAAGCATGGCGAGAGGAGAGCGATGGAAAAAAAGCGGGAGAAACGAGGGCAGAAATACGTATATATACATATATTGTATAATGAAAAATATTTAATTAACAGAAATTAATTAAATCCGAAACATAATTAATCAGAGATATAGGTTCATTTGAAAAAAAATAAAAAATTTCATTAAAAAAAGTACATGAGTAAAAAAATGGGGGTTTTTCATAATTTTTTAATAATATCGAAAGCTAGAGAGAGAGAGAGAGAGAGAGAGATCGACTCTCGATCATAATGGACGTCACGGGTCATGCGAGGGGTGGTGGGGGGATAGAAGGATGGAAGGGAGGGCGGAGCGTAATAAAAATAAGTAATTACTTCAAGTAACTTCCCACCCTCCTCCTCCCCCCCTTTTCACGACCATAACACACCAGTCGCGCGAGTCGTTCAATTAACGGAATACTGTTGTCTTCTCTCCCCTTCTCTCTCTCACTCTTGTTCCTTCGTTTCCTCTCTTTCCTTCGCTCACTGGTTTTCTCTCTCTCTCCTTCGCTCTTTGATTTTTTCTCTCTCTCCTTCACTCTGTTTTCTCTCTCTTTATTTCGTTCCCTCTTTTTCTCTCTCTCTCTTTCTGTTTCGTTGATTCTCTCTCTCTCTCTCTCTTTCGCTGTGTTCTCTCTCCCTCTCTCTCTTTTCTATCCCCGCTCCCCCCTCCTCAACTATCCCACCTCATGGAACCCGCGAAATGTTTCACTTGTGAGCGTACGAGGAATATTGGTGTAGGAGAGCAAGAGAGAGAGAGAGAGAGAGAACTAGTGGTGGGGGGGTAACGACAGAGCGAGTGAGAGGGGAGGACACGTGGAGAAAGAGAGAGGGAGAGAGACGCCCCTCCTTTACTCACGCCCCTCACGTCCGTCTAGTATCCCGAACCATCTCTCTCTCTCTCGCCCCCCCCCCCCCTCCTCACTCTATTTCCCTTTGCGCGCTTCTCCCCTCCCTCTCTCCATCTCACTCGCTCCCACAGCGCGAGAACTCAACTACAGAGCAAGTAAAACTCTCCCCGCCACTAACGAATTCCCCCCCACCGCTTCCCCACTCGCCGAGAGCGTGAGAGTAGGGGAAGTCTCTCCCAGAGCCACACTCGCTCGTCCGCCGTCGTGCTGAGTAGGTTTCAAATCGTTATATTTGCTATATAAAAGAAGTAAAACGAGAAAAAAAAAATAATTACACAAAAAAACAATTATTTTACTCGTGCTTTCGTGTATACTCGTGTAACCTCTCTTGTTTCCCCAAATATATCAATATTTGCAAAAATATAAAGTGTCTCCCTATTTATATTGTGTCAGTGATTAAAGTGACAAATTCTTTATTTTTCTGCGCGAGTATTTTCAAATTAATGTTTTGATCAGGTCATTGAATTATTTCAAGAAAGAATTTTTAATCGAATAAATCAGCAATATAGACACCAAAGGGACTGTGTTTATTTTTTTTTTATTGTTGTGTGTAACGAGAAAAATTGTGTGATTCATTGGATAGCAAAGAAATAAAAAATTTGCTCTCATAATAATAATCCGTGAAACGTGTGCGGCAATTGAAAATTCAGAGAAAATTTCTCGTAATAAATATTAATTGCCTGGAGAAATATATTTTCGAGTGTTTTTGGTTCTTTTGTGGTGTTTGTTGTTGTTGTTGTTTTTAAACAACACAAGTGAAAAGAAGTGTTTTTGTTTAAATTCCAGATATTTCTATTTTTTTGTGTGTGAAGGGTTTTATTTTCATCAAGCCTACGCATGTTTCCAGGACCGACAAAGGTTTGTTCCAAAAATTTTTCTGTACTTTTCGAAAAAAAGTAATTCTGCAAAAAAATGAATCACAAAAAGAGGATAAAAAAAGAATTAAATTTAGAATTTAAAAGGAATTGTAGTAGAAATTCAGAAAATTAGGAAAGTAAACAAGAGTGAATTAAGGAATTAAAATAGTGGAAAAAAAGTGTAAATTAAAGGAATTAGAATTAAAATAGCGCTAGAGTAATAGAATTAGAGGAAACTAGAAGAAATTTTGGTAATAAACTTTCGAATTAGGATTATAAATTCAAATAGTCGTAAATTTTAGATTACACTCCGAATTTGCATGTAACTTACTGAAAGCAAATTCCTTGAATAGTGAATGCAATAACTTGAGGATAGTAATTTAATGAATCAGGATAGTAAATTTTAAAAATTAGGATATTTAGTAAAAAAAATATGAATACTAAATTCTAAAAAGTAGGATAGTAAGTAAAAACAATAAGGATAGTAGATAAAAAATAAGGATAGTAAATAAAGAGATAAGAATAAAATTTAATTGAAATAGAATTAAAATTAACGTAATCAAAATAGTAAATAATGGAATTAGAATAAATTAAATTATAGATTTAAGATAGTAAACAATGGAATTAAAACAGTGAATAGAGGAATAAGAATAGTAAAAAAAGAGTCAAAATAGTAAAAAAATTAACGAAATTAAAATTTTCATTAAAGGAATTACAATAGTAAATAACGAAATTAAAATATTATTTACAGTAAATCGAATATTAAATAGAGGAATTAGATTGATAAGAATATAGTTAAAATTGTAAATAATTAAATTTGAATAGTAATTAAAGAAATTGGATAGTAATTTATGGAATTAGAATGCTAAATAGTGGAATTAGAGAGGTAAATAAAAGGGTTTAGACAAGAAATAATTGAATTTGAATAGAATTTAAAGGAATTAGAATAGTAACTAAAGAAAGTAGAATTTAAAATTAAAAGGATTAGAATAGTGAATATAGGAATTAGAATAGTAGATAATGGATTTAGGATAGTAAAAAACGGAATTAAAGTAGAATTAGGATAGTAATTTTCGGAATTAGAATAGTAAATAAATAGTTGTGATTGTAAAAAATGGAATTAGAATCGAACTTTAAATAGTCAAGATAGTAAATAATGGAATTTGAAAGTAATTAATGGAATTAGAATTAAAACTAAAGAGATTAGAATAGTGACTACAGGAATTAGAATAGTAAATAATGAAGTTATGATAGTAAAAAACGGAATTAAACAGAATTTTGAAAGTTATTTATGGAATTAGAATTGTAAATTACGGAAATAAGACAGTAAATAAAGGAGTTAAAATAGTAAATATGGGAATTAGATTAGTGAATAGTGAAATTAGAATAATAAATAAATAGTTGAGATAGTAAAAAACGGAATTAGAATCCAAATTAAAATAGTCAAGATAGTAAATAATGGAATTTGAATCTAATTAAAGGAATTAGAATTACACCAAGAATTAAATTATAAATTAAATTAAACGAATTGAAAGAACAATAAAGTAAATAACGAAGTTAAGATAGTAGAAAATGGAATTAGAATAGTAATTTAACGAATTAGAATTATAAATACTAGATTAGAGTAAATAAATGAGTTAAGATAGCGAATTAAATAAATAAATTATGTGGTTTGATTAGTAATTAATCGAATTAGAATAGTAAATATTGGAATAAGGATAGTAAATATTGGATTTAGAGTAGTAAATAATGGAATTAGGATGGTAAAAAGTGGAACCAGAATAGTAAATAATGAAAAACGATAGTAATTAATGGAATTTGAATAATAAATAATGGAATTGGGACAGTAAATAGTGGAACCAGGATAATAAATAAAAAAATAACAATAGTAATTCATGGAATTAGAATAGTAAATAAGGAAATAACGATAGTATATCATGGAATCAGAACAGCATATTTAAACGAATTTTTGAAAATGTAAAGGAATTAGAATTGTATATAATAATAGAACAATTATTATGAAAGAAATTTGAAAAATTAAATACAGGAATTAGGATCGAAAAAGTAGAATAAAGATATAGTAACAGTGGAATTAGAATATAAATAAAGAGAAGAACTCGAGAAAAATACGAATTTCAAGCTATTTTCAGTCCAAATTAAATTATTGGAATTAGGAGGAATTGGAATTGATTAAAATTGAAGAATTAGAACGAATTCGAATTATAAACATTTGGAATCTTGACGATTATTAAATTTTAATCAAACTTAAATCGAATTTAAGTTAAAATAGAACTTAATGTACTTCGAACATAATTTAAATAAAAAACCTATCAACTTAAATCAAACACTTGAATTCTATTTTCATTGAAATCTAATTTAATTTTCTTGAATTTCAATTTTGTTTTTGAAAATAATTTGAAAATTGTTATTATTGTTAAAACTGTTTGGAAACGTTTCAATTATTGTTATACCGAAAAATGTTTTTTTTTATAATACAATTTCATGCTCCGAAAAAGAAATATTTAAATTCCCCAGTTACGATATATTGTTGAATGGCATTTAAAGACTTCTGGCTGTAAACACGATCAGTGCAATATTTTTAATCTCGAAATACAATTCTCGTTAAATTATTCAACTATTATAGATATAAGGAAACGTAAAGAAATCGGATTTAGCAAATTCTATTTAGAATTCGTTGATTTTTATATGTTTTCAATGAAATCTTTAGTTATTGTCATTATTTGTAATTTTTTCCTTTTGTTATTGGTAAAACAATAGTCAACAGGTAAAAATTTATTTTTTTCATAAAACCTAATTAGAAGTTTAAAACTTTGCTATACAGTGAAAAGTATTATTTTGTTTTGATTTTTGTTTCAAATTTTGATTTGGTTCTATTTTAATACCGAAATCAGCTCTAATTTAGCAATTTTCTTTTTGAGTGATAGACTTCAATAATATGTTGTTAAAATCTAGTTACAGATTAAAACTTTTATTGTTAAAACCTAGTTACAGGTTAAAACTTTTCGCATTGTTAGAACCTATTTACAAATTAAAACCATATTTATTGTTATAACTCACAATCAGTTACAAGTTAAGACATTACTTATTACTTATTGTTATAACTTAGTTACAAGTTTTGTCTTTACTTATTATCATAACTTAGATAAAAATTAAACTAAAGCTAAAAATTCCCTTAGTTGCAACTTTCTTCGAAGTTGAAACATATTCATTATTCTCATAAATAGACATTCCTAATTTTAAAATTTTACTAAACTGCGAAAACATTACTGCAGCTAAAAATATATTTGAATTATGATATCAAAGAGGAATTATTAATTTTGATGAAAAAAAAAACTGGACAGAAATCTAGAGATAGGACAGTGTAAGGGAATTTACGCAGGCGCTCGAAAACCACGTGGTTGTCGGCTGATCGTGTCGCTATGTTAAGAGAGTAGAACATGGTGGGGTAAGGGGCACGTTTGAAGATTTTGGAAAATGTTGTTTGGAAGCAAAAACGAAAGAGAGCGAGCGAGAGAGAAAGAGAGAGAGAGAAGAAATACATCGAGTACGAAACAAATAGACTAGACACGTTAGAGTTTTGGCACAATGCCAAAAGGCACTTGCAATATCGAGGAGAGACGAAGCTCAAAAGTAGGATGAACTGTTTACATTTATACAACATCTCTTGAAAATTTTTCCACCAAGCTATATACACGTAAATATTTTTGTCCTGTAATTTTTTTTCTGCATTCTTCCTTCTCCCCTTGATTCCCCACCCTTCCTTTATTCTCTACCCTTACCCCTACCCTCTCATTTTCTTCCCCCTTTAATCAAAAAAATTAGTTTCTAATTCATTCTATTCTAATTCAGATGGTACAGTGAAATTTATTGCTATTCTTCTCACAAATTCCGTATTCTTTGTTGACATCTTTTTAAATGTCCCTTTTTTCCCCATAATGTCGAGAGAAACGGAATTTTTTTTAGGAAAAGTTGGCAGACATGAGAATTTGGCGGGGTCATGTCGTTATTCTTTTCGGAGGTCAAGAATCTTTTTATTAGGCACCATGTGTCTTTTGTTGATTGCTTTTTAGAACTGTTTTTTTATATTAAAATATGTCGCGAATATTTTATGCTGTATTACTAAAAGTCTGCTGTTTGGTTCGCATTTCGAATCTGTAGTTGTTGATAGAATGGTACTGTACCCAATTTTTGACAAAGTAGTTTTGCCTCTAAAGTTGTTTATCGACCAAAAAAGTTTTTATAAGCTTTTCTACTCTTTTCTGCCCCTGCCAAATTACCCCTTTTCAGTCTACTTGATACAATTGATTTGCATCAAAATCGCAAATTTGATCTGCGGTTGTTAACCGACCTTCCTGCATATCCTACTAAAGATCCAACCCTAACTATTTTCCGATATTAAATTTTGTCTTTTCTGGTCTTCAAAAACACTGTTTTACTTATATTTCTACTAAAGGTGGTCCAACCCTGACTATGTTTCCCTACGAATTTTTGTCTTTTCTTGTTTTCAAAGAAACATTTTTACCCATTTTTACTAAGTCCAACCCTGACTATGTTCTTCTATGAATTTTTGTCTTTTCTGGTTTTCAAAAACATTGTTTTAATTATATTTCTGCTAAGGGTGGTCCAACCCTGACTATGTTTCCCTACGAATTTTTGTCTTTTCTTGTTTTCAAAGAAACATTTTTACTCATTTTTACTAAAGGTGGTCCAACCCTAACTATGTTCCTTTATAAATTTTTGTCTTTTCTGGTTTTCAACAAAAACACTGTTTTACTTACCTGTATAGTAAAGGTGGTCCATCGCTGACTATGTTCATCTATTAATTTTTGTCTTTTCTGGTTTTCAAAAAACTGTTTTACTTACCTGTTTGTTAAAGGTGGTCCAACCCTGACTATGTTCTCCTATGAATTTTTGTCTTTTCTTGTTTTTAAAGAAACTGCGTTTTACTTACCGGTTTACAAAAGGTGGTCCATCGCTGAC